CTCCATCAGAAATGCAGCCGCCTCTGCCGGGATTTGAACCCGCGACCTGCGGGTCAGCAGCCGAGTACCTTAGCCACTAGACCACCGCGGCGAGGCATGATTATTATCATGCTTGCACCAGTCGTGTACATTCGTTATTTATTAACATCCCGTAAAACCTAATTTGGTATATGGGAAGCTGCTAAAACGATCGCCAGTGCACCATTAGCGTGGCGTGTAGTCATGATCAGTCATAACATAAAAATCATGACACGCATGTCATGATTTTCGTGTTAAGGTCTGTCACCTATGTTCGCGATGCAGTCATGCCATACTATAACAGTTTGAAAAATGTCATGTGCACAAAACAGCTGCAAGAGCAGCAAGACCATTAAATGTATATCATGAAGTCATGGCATGCCTTTTATAATTTTCATCATATCACTATTCAATTACGCTCGTCATACAGCCATATTATGGCATACAAATTTTGGTACCGATACCAATATCGAGATGGCCAGGAGAGCGTATATTCATATATTGTTATATAGATAGATAGATAGATAGATAGATAGATAGATAGATAGATAGATAGATAGATAGACTCAAAGTTGCCGAACTTCGGTAAGAAATGTTTCGCGTTTAAAAAGCCCAATAGAATTTATACAAAAAAGGCCATGTCTGTAACCTAATTGTAGATCATCGGGGCAATCAGCTGACTTTTAAGGCATTAGAACTTATTTCTATTTATACGGAACTTACTGCACAACACAAATAATCCATAAATATTTCCGTTTTGCCTTTATTCCTTGAAAATTTGTTCGTCTATATGGGTTGTTGCAGGTCAGAAAAAACATGCTCAATTCATACAATCATTCGTCCTGTCATAATGAAAGTATCGTCACCGCAGGCTTTATACGTTCAGATGGCTTGCCAAGGTATGTTGTTCGCTTCCAGTTCATAAATAATCGTGTTCTACGTGCTGTCGCGTATCATTTCAGCCAAGATGTCACAGCCAAAATTGGCGGTGGCTCAGAGTCCTTCAGAATACATACACAAAAATACCCAATAAAATGAGTGAGAAAAGAACCACCACAGGTAATTAGGTAATAGAGAATTTAGTGGGTTATAGGAAGATCGTTTGGTCTGTCCCTAAAAGCGGAAAGTTTATTCTCCAAGAACTTCAAATCTTTAAGAGGCAAGCTTGGACGCCTCGTCAACGACGAAATTTTACCGCCGGTAGATTCAGCTTGTGGCATAGCTATTAGCAGCACTACTGCTGAAAAAGCATCTCTTGATGAAGTTTCATGTCACGTCATCACAACGATAAGGCGAACCGAAATCTGTGACAATAATGTGACACATTGGAACATGACCTGACATGATGACGTTATCACGTGACATCATCGGTTGGGTGAGGGTGCGAAGATCACGAAGGCAGCGAAAATCACCTCAGAAGGAGAGAACTCTCGAAGTGGGGCAATAGATGATCGTAAAATCCACATAGAAATAATAGATTACTTCCACCTTCGAGTCATGCCTAACATATCGTTTTTTAGCATTTATGTCGCAAATAGTATACAACTGCATAAAAAACAAGTACCCTGCCCTGTGCCTGCCTTGGCTTTGTTGCCAGTTAGTTTGATTATATTGGCTTGCTAGATAACTCAGGTAATGATCCAGGAGTCGGGGATACTGAAGCAAACAGGGATAGAAAATTGGCAGCTCCGAAAATATTACGCTGAAAATACAAGTAAAGTTTCACAGTTTTGCAAGAGAACGTCACTTTGCCATGCGTAACGAGGCACAAGAAGCGGTAGAAAAACAGATATACCTAGGACAGGCAGTGGGCGCATGTTCCTTCTATGATACTTAAGCGACTAGACGAATCCGTTGAAGTGCAGTCAGTAGACTTTCTTCGACTATGAAGGGTAGTTTGACACTAATATTTTAGAAAAAAGTACATAACAGCTGCGTGTTACTGGTGCATACATACGTGGAGTGCATATAATGAGTGCACGCCCAGGCATCGTGCAGAATGTGGAAGTGGTTGGCAAGGTACGATGCAGTGACCATAAAATAGTACGGTCTCGAATTCACCTACACTTGAAGAAAGAACGACAAAAACTTGTACGCCAGAAGCCAATCAATGAGCTAGCACTGGGAAGGAAAGTACAGAAATTCTGAGTCTCGTTTCAGAACAGGTACTCGGCTCTTATTGAGGAAGCCAACCTTAGCGTAGATACAATGAATAATAATCTGATGAGTATCATTACGGAGTGTGCAGGGGAAGTTAAAGGCATGATAGTTAGACTGGGCACTGGCAAGGTTTCCCAGGAAACGAAGACTCTAATTAAGAAGCGCTCAAGCATGAAAGTCTCAAGCAAAACAGACAAAATAGAACTGGCAGAGCTTTCGAAGTTGATTAACAAGCGTAATGTATTTGATGCGAGAAGGTAAAACACGGAGAGAATTGAACACGCTCTGAAAATTGAAGGAAGTATCAAGGCAGGGAAAATGAAACTGGCGAAAAGCAAAAATCAAATGTATGCACTAAGAAACAAGAAGGGCAAAATAATCACCAATATGAATAGGATAGTTAAAAGAGTGGATGACCTTTACAGAGATCTGTACAATAGCCGGCACAACCACGACCTTAATATTATAAGAACTATCAGCAGTCCAGATGACACCCACCCCCCCAGTAATGATGTAAGTCAGAAATGCCTTTGAGAGCATGAAAAGAGGCAAAGCTGCTGGCGAGGTTTAAGTAACATCAGATCTGCTGAAAGTTGGAGGACCGATTGTGTTACAAAATTTAGCCACCCTTTTTACGAGGTGTCTCCAGAAGGGAAGGGTACCAGAGTCTTTGAAAATGCTAACATCATCCTAATACACAAGGATGGAGATGACAAGGACTTGAAGAATGACAGGCCGATCAGCTTGCTCTCCGTAGTATGCAAGCTATTTACAAAAGTGATTGCTAACAGTTAAGAAAACATTAGGATTCAATCAACCAAAGGAACAAGCAGGATTTTGAACAGGCTACTGAACCATTGACCACATTCATACTATAAATCAGGCAATAGAAAAATGCTCAGAATACAGCCAACCATATACATAGCCTTCATTGATTGCGAGAGGGCGTTTGATTCAGTCGAAATATTGCAGTCATGCAGACACTGCGGAATCAGGGCGTCGATGAAGCACATATAAACATCCTGGAAGAAATCTACAGGGGATCAACTGCTGTCATAGTGCTTCATAAAGAAGGCAAGAGAATATCAGTTAAGAAGGGTGTGAGGCGCGGGGACAGAATCTCCCCAATGCTATTTACCGCGTGCTTACAGGAGCTTTTCAGAAGCCTAGAATGAGAACAGTAAGCATAAGATTTTTTTATTTATTTATTAAACTTATTATTTATTTATTTAATCAATTTATTTATTTATTTATATTAAAAAATAAAATAAGAGTTAATGTAGAGTACCTTGATAACCTGCGCTTCGCCGATGACATTGCATTGCTGAGTAACTCAGGGGATCAGTTGCAACTCATGATATCAGAGTTAGACAAGGAGAGCAGAAAATTGGGTCTTAAAATTTATCTGCAGAAAACGAAAGTAATGTACAACCTCGGAAAAGAGCATTGCTTCGAGTTAAATAATAGTGCACTTCAAGTTCTAAAAGCTATGTCTACATAGGGCAGGTAATAACCGCGTAGCCGAACCACGAGATTGAAGTAACTAGCAGAATAAGAATGGGGTGGAGCACATGGGGCAAGCACTCTCGAAATATGACAGATAGATTGCCACTATCCCTCAAGAGGGAGGTATATAACAGTGTAATCTTGCCGTTACTTTTCTGCGGAGCAGAAACCTGGAGACTTACGAAGAGGGTTCAGCTTAAATTTAGGACGACGCAGCGAGCAATGGAAAGAAAATTGGTAGGTGTAACCTTAGAAGACAATAAGAGAGGAGAGTGGATTAGCGAAAAACGGAAGTTAGGGGTATCATAGTTGAAATCAAGAAGAAGAAGCTGTCATGGGCCAGGGCATATAGCGCGTAGATAGGATAACCACAGGTCATTAAGGGTAACTAACTGGATTCCCAGAGAACGCAAGTGGGTTAGGGTGAAACAGAAGGTAAGGTGGGCAGATGAGATTAAGAAATTTGTGGGTATAAATTGGCAGCAGAAAGCACAGGACCGAGTTAACTGGCGGAACATGGGAGAGGCCTTTGTCCTGCTGTAAACGGAGTTTGGTTGATGACGACGACGGCGACGATGATGATAATGATTATGATGATGATGATGATGATGATGACATACGTTGTTGAAACGTGAAGGCTCAGTAACAGGATTGAACTTATATAGAGAACGACGCAGCAAGCAACAGAGAAAATAGCTAGGAGTTTGTTTCTTGTTCCTAGCGTAGGCTTTTTATCCAATTCCTGTGTTCTGTAAGTCATCTCCATACAACTAGACTGGTTCCTCGGTTGAAACTTCACCACAACATATGCTTCTTTTTCTGTTACAAGCAAACAATATATCGGACAGATTAAGATCACTAGGTTTTATTTTACTGCTCGTTGAATGTTCTGGAATGTCGTACGAGAAGTGTATCCCGAAACATAAAACCACCATGTCCTGCCAGACGCTCAAGATAAGCAACTATACAAAACAGGAAAGATATCTGGAACCGACAAAATCTACCGTTGCTTCGAGTACAAGACGGGCACCTTTGCAAACTGCACCTATCTTTGGTTTCAACGTGAAAATACCCGTTACTATTATCTATTACAAGTAATTTCGCGTGAACGTGTATGGGCATCCAAGTCTGCAACAATGGATGAACTTTTTTGTTTATCTCATGAGCCGGAAATTCCCCCAAGGCAATTGAGAGCTCGTTGCGCAAATGATCCAGTGTAGGAAAGCATTGGAGATAAAGGTGTTTGCTGTCGCACCAGATAAGAAAAACCCAACATGGGACATTGTGCCTAATTGGCAAGCTCTTTTCCAGAAAAAGTATAAGTAGATTTAACCAGCCTGCTCAACCACTAGTTCAACGACCATTGCGTCCTTATTGTGGTGAGTTTCAATCCATTCTACTGAGAGCCAATTCTTTTAATCCACGGGAACATATAACTGCCATCCTACTACTAGTGCCTTATGGCATTTTGTTTCGTAAACTTCGACATTTGTGAGTAAAGAAAGCACTTCGGCTTTAGAAAATCGTATTCTGAATCTCGGGTATACACATTTTGTTAGAATCAACCTCTGCATTTCTGGTTTGTAGAGAAGCAACAGTAAAGAGATATTTTTTGATTGGTTGCACTATTGTCTGTAATACTGTGCATACTGCATGCTTTCTCGCTCATTGACGAAAATGCATTAAGGTTGTTTATATATCTAAATGGAAGAATCGTTTTTTTTGTACGATGATAGAAAATAGTAAGATTCTTCATTGTCTTGTGCAATGGTAACAGACATTTAATACAACTACCTTTACACCGACAGGTATGTGCTTATGCGAAATTAATTTCTGCATTTTCGTCTGCTAAGGCTTTGTCTAACCTTGCTCTTGCATTAATTCTGCAGCCAAAACCAGCTATGAAGTCCTGCATGTGGATCACCTTGCTTTCGCTAGCTGCCATGGCCTGTAAGTTGTACCAGATTATCGATATGGCAGCTAGCACAATCTTACGTTAATGGCTCGCCCTGATCAGATATAAGAGCAGTAATATTTACACTCATTTTAAATATCTCTAGATAATTTGGAATGTTTTCGTATTCTCAGACAAACATATCATGAAAATGGCAGTACCTTTTGATGCCCCTATTTAGTTACGCAGCGTTTTTTGTGAGCGCGAGAGTATTTCAATGCCCGAGAAATACCGCACGAAGTGCCAGAAGTGAACCATGCCCTACTTTGTCTTAATTGGTGGAGCGGCTGTACGTGCGTCTCAGTACGACGGAGTCCCAAAGTAAGGAGGCTCTATTCTCACTGCGAAATCTTCAATATACTTTTTTCCTGCATTAAAGGTTTCGTTACTTCATTCATCGCCAAAGCACGTAGCAAATGTGCTACGTGCTTATTATTATTAAAATATTATTCATTCTGGTAACGAAAACAATATATTGGTAGCATGACGATTGTGAACCGTCGGAATGCACAGCTCTCAACGCGTTAGTCAATGTGATCGGCTGGTCAGATCACAGAAATTGTAAATGTGGTCACGCAAACAGTGTGGCACCTGTAAGTGTCATGCCGGAATCGCAGAGTTGACCAATGCATTTTCATTACAATAGTATTAGAGATTTTCCTCAGAAGAGCCACCATGAAAACAACGTTGTGACCAGATGGGCTTTCGTTTAGTGAGGTGCCCCTGATTAATTCTTAGCGCCAGAGGTACTGTAGGTGCCTCAGTATTTATTTATTTTATAACTTGACAAATCATCTTTCCATCTCTGTTCATTTATTTTATATACCGCTCTGACTAAAATGCAGCCAGCATGGTCAGGTGTTGAACACATACCTGAGTCTTAGGAAGGTTGCATCTTACTCAGCTAAATAAAGAAACCTCTTTTTAAATTTCCACAAAAAATAGATCCCTATTGCTTGAATTATACATTGCACAAAAAATAGATTATAAATCTCTTACGTAACGTTTTTATCAAAGTCTTCATCGCGCATTTTAACTTCGAGGGTCGAAAGCTGAGATCAGTCATAAATGTACACTTTATGGTGAAGTACAGGGACAATGGAGAGAAGAAAGGCATAACACCCTTTACTTTTTCGTGTGTTCGTTCTCCGCTAATTAGTGCTGCTTCACCATACGGTGCAACAACCACAACCTATTTTCGTTTTAACTAGAGTATACGGGCCTGTCTTAGCACCGTCCATTTTCAGATGCCTTGCGTTGCCAGATAGGCAACTCTACTCGCAAATTTCTTGGTTTATTGAAAATGCTGGCTTTTAGAATGTCATATAAGCTCTCCTATTCTCCGCGTTGGGAACTATAATATGATATCATTTTTCTGCCCTGCAGATTAAGCTACGGCCCAGTTGTTTTTGCAGTCATTGCCTGAATTAAAATTCACTAGTTCAGATCATAAACGTGTGTTACATTGTGCTTTTTTCAAACTAACGACATTGTCATCTCATTTCCTTTTCATGCCTGATGAAGATGGCGCCTCAGTGTAAGTAGAAAACGTATATCTGCACCAAAAGTGTAAGGTCTCTGTGAAATTGTGTATGCTGATGTTTCTATTGCTTCCCTCAGCGTCACAGAAGCTGAAGCACCACAGTTCATCATTACAAAAGGTATTTTTTAATATGACTCATTTATGCTTCATTAATTTATGTATTTGCGCGAACACCCTAAAATATCATTTATGACATCATATTTCCATTATACCAAAACTTAGTGATTCTCACTGCATGGGACTTGATTTAGCTAAATATATATCCAATAGCGTAAAACACTGAGAGCCTATGGTGTTCATTATTCTGGTATAGAATGTAGGAATTGTTTGTGTGGTAGGTAAGTACACTTAGGTTGAAGTATGTAAAATTGAGATTGTCTATTTTATTTCAGTGCCGCAAGGCGTGCAGATCTTCAAGACAGTGAATAAATTCGCATTATTTTCACGCAGTCAGCAGCAACTCGAGCAATCGGCCACAGTCATGTGTTTTGGTTCGAAAGCTTTCATGGTCGCCGACGCTTTTCTCAAGCAATAGAGAATGAGCAATTATTAGGCTACTGCAGTTCAGCGATGGTCACATATTGCAATATCGTCTTTAACTGTTAACTGGCACAGAAGGTGTCAGTAGAACTCTAAGGAGTTAAAAATGCACTAAGGGACACCGCTTCTAAATATAATAAAATAAGTTCGTCGAACTTATGCTGGGTGCTCTTGGTCAATACAGCAATGAGTTCATTTTTCCTGTGAACTATTCTGTAGTACGGATGAGTTACGACGCGTAACGCCGCAAAAAACGTAATGAAGATAGAATTATTAGACACAATTTGAGAAAATTGGAATATTGTCGACAAAGAAACTTGCTTTAACTGTCGCATCGGACTTCTACAATCAATAGCAGCTTAAGTCAGAAAAGTGATTAATGTTGCACAAGTAACACCACGAGAATAAAAAAAATATTGGATATACATTACTTCTTAATAAAGCATAGCATAACTTACATGTGTGTTTTTCTACAGTACGTACTGACGACAACCCCGTTGACAAAACGTTTCATTTTTTTTCATAGAAATGGAAGCCGAAGTTCTGAAGGAAGTTGGAAAAAGCCTCGAGACACTCGGCAGAATTTTGCAAGGAAAGGACGTGCCTGCTACTCAAGAGACGCAGGATGAAGTAGCCCAAGTCATGCGCACCCTTTCTTCCGATGAGGCACTGAGCGACGACGCCGCTGAGTACATCTGGCCCATCATTGCTCGCGGTGTAGTTCAAGGAGGCGTTGCCCATGGAGTCCACAAATGGCTAAACAGCAGAGGGTAGAGGCCATATACTCCAGTGATACTTTAGTATTCGGTGGTTCGCCACTCGCTTGGCAAAAAACTTCTCCGGCCAACTACTGGATTGATACGATTTGTCTCAGGACCTCCAACTATTTAGAAATCTGAATCAATTAAAGATTGATTTGAGTGCAATATTTCACTTTATTTCTGAATTTTTTGTCACTCTTTGGGAAAGAAAGCTGCAATTTGCCGGCACGAGTTCCCTTGCATTTACAGTGACTCGATTCTAGCTCGGCCTAACGTGTTATGATCCAAAGTCATCGTCATTACGAACAAGGTGCTCTTTGCGTCATCGTCTTCATTTTCTACTTTGCTCCCAGATTACATGCACCGATGTTTCTGTCGTATAGCTAGGGGGAAGCACCAAGTGATGAAAATGTGAGGCGGGGAGTAGGAAAACGAAAGAGAAAAACAGCAGAGCAGAAAGAACGATGTTATGAAGAAAAAGAAAATCTGGGCGTGAAAATTTCTCATGTGGCGGTGGAATGCAAACGCGCGTAGACACGATCTCAAAGCTAGTGTCTTCACCATGCGGCAGCCAGACACGCTGTCAAAAAGTAGCATAACCTTGTATAGTACATATAGGAAATTCTTTATAGCGTAATATGCAAATAATAAGACAGCGGGACAACAAAATTCTCACAAATAAAGAAGGTAGAGCCACAGGAAGAGAAATAAATGTTGATAAATTTAGAAAAAGGAATACAGCGAGAAACAGTGAAATACATAAAGAAGGCAAAAACTATAGAATGCGAAAAAAAGACAGTAGTGTAAATAAATAGAGGCTAAAATGTAAAAAATACAAAGAGAAAAAACACGTAAAAATGTCTTCAGGCATCGAAATAATCCTGCCGACCTTAATAAAAAATACAGGTAATTGGGAAAACAGTTTGCCCAGTGAGTGGCAATGAGTCCCACTTCATTGCGCTGAGCTTTAAGAGACTAAAAGTGAAGTTCCGCCCCGCCGTGGTAGTGTAGTGGTTAAGGTACTCGGCTGCTGACCCGCAGGTCACGGGATTGAATCCCGGTTGCGGCGACTGCGTTTCAGATGGAGGCGGAAATGTTGTAGGCCCCTGTGCTCAAATATTGGTGTACTTTAGAGAACCTCAGGTGGTTAAAATTTCTGGAGCCGTCCACCATGGCGTCCCTCATAATTCTATGGTGGTTTTCGGACGTTAAACTCCACATATCAATCAATAAAAAAGTAAACTTCCCGCGTTCTTTCTATAGAGGCAACCGCAAAATATTTACAAATGATTGCTACATGAAATCTTTATTCCCATAACGCGCTTCCGTGGACAGGCGTTGATTTGCATCCAGAAGTATGGCAAGAGAACATGTGTGAACAGCTCCTTGCATAGAAACTCACAGAAGTTGCTCAGCAGCTCATTTTGAAAACTGAATAACAAGATGAGCGTCTATTAAATGCGAAGCATTTCTTAGCGAACTTCGGTGACTTCGATCGTACCTATCTATCTATCTAGCCACCTACGCCTTTTCTTTCCTGGCCGTTTCGATAATGGTATCAATACCAAACTTGGTATGGCATAGGCTGTATGGTGAACATATCGGATTAGTCATAACATGAAAATGATGACAGTATGTCATGAATATCATGATTTACATTTTATGGTCCTGGAGCTTTTGCGGTGGTTTCGCTCACATGGAATGTTGCAAAATTAGTATGCTATGGCATGATTGCATGGCATACACAAGATACGGACCTTGATATGAAAATCATGACATGCGTCTCATGTAACAACATGACTACATGCCACGATTATGATGCGCTCGTGGCCATTTCGCTAGCGTCAAATATACCAAATTTGGTTTTACAGTACGTGAATGAATGAGGAAGGTATGTGACTGGTGCAAACATGATAATCATGAGATGCGTGTCATGTAAGAATATGACTACATGCCATGCTCATGATGCGCTAGCGGCCATTTCGCTATCTTCACTTATTCTAAATTTTGTATTACGGGACGTGAATGAATGACAAATGTATGATACTGGTGAAAACATAAGAAACATGAGATGCCTGTCATGTAACAACATGACTACATGCTACGCTCATGATGCGCACGCGGCCGTTTCTCTAGCTTCACATGCACCAATCTTGGTATTACGCGACGCGAACGGACGACATAGGTAAATTATTGATTGATATGTGGGGTTTAACGTCCTAAAACCACCATAAGACTATGAGAGACACTGTAGTGGAGGGACCCAGAAATTGTGACCATCTGGGGTTTTTTAACGTGCACCCAAATCTGGGCACACGGGCCTACAACATTTCCGCCTTTATTGGAAACGCAGTCGCCGCAGCTGGGATTTGTTCCCACGACCAGCTAGCTAACAGCCGAGTACCTTAGCCACTAGATCACAGCGGTGGGATGATATATGTAAATGACACATGCAAACTTGATAATCACGACATGCGTGTCATGTAACAACATGACTACATGCCACACTAATCATGCGCTTGCGGCCGTTTTGATAGCTTCTCATATGCCTAATTTTGTATCACGTGACGCCAATGAATCACGAAGGTATGTGACTGATGAAAACATGATAATCATGGGATGCGTGTCATGTGAGCACATGACTGACTACTTGCCACAGTCAAGGCGCCATTACATTTTGACGTCACGCCGTGTGCGTGCTCGCCGGCGTTCATTTCATTGCGTCAAGCCAACGTTGCCACGTGAGGCACCGTCCTGCCATATAGACAAATTTCATCGGACTTACGTCACGAAAATGTGGTGGCGCTTTCTTGGTAGGCAAAATACGCTCTGCCCAACCGCATTTTTTGCTGGGTTTTCAATGGTGCATGCGTTGTTCTCAGTTAAACCACGAGGAAAAAAAGTATGCCGACGAGCTGCGACACCTTTGCATGTGAGTCGCGTCTCACAACTTTGTTTTGTTTGTTGGCGCACATTGCAGCCCTCACCGCTTATGGTTTCCAGAAAGCTTATGGCGTCTCACTACGTCGTTTTGTTAGCGCACATCGCAACCCTCAGCGCCTATTTCGGAAGTTACGTGCGAACGTAGTTATAATTTTACACTTAATGTTGACGTCGTCCTAATTGTGTTTACAAACATGAAATAGATCTATACTCGCATGCGCGCGCCACGCTGCGTAACTTTGACGCGTGCGCGTTTCTGAGCGTCCGGCGCCCCTCCGTCACGAAAGGAGGAATACCCAGTGTTGTCCGGTAACGCATCGGAGCGAAATGAAGCATGTCGCATTTCACGCTGGCTGCCACCGGGCCGCACCTTCGGACGCTGGTCGCGCCTGCCGTCAGACTATAGAGCGCTCGTGGTTTGCTAAGGTAGCGTCGCTGTGCCCAGCGTGCGCGAGCGTCAACGCTACATTGCAGTATATTGGGCTCTTCATAATGCACTTGCAGCCGTTTCGTTAGCTCCACATATACTAAATTCCATGGTACGTGATGTTAGTTGATGACAAAATATATGACTGGTGCGAACATTATAATCCTGACACGCTTGTCATGTAAGTACATGACAACATACCATGCTCATAGCGTGCTCGTGGTCGTTTTGCTAACTCCATATATACTAAATTTGGTATCACGTGACGTGAATAGATGACAAAAATAAACGACACATACAAACATGATAATTTATTTATTTATTTTATTTGCATACACAGATACACAAGGACACAGAGGAAAGAGGGAGAGAGCAAGCTGGCAAATGCCACGTGGAGGGGCACAACGCCTGCTCACTCTTTTGGGAGGAGAAAAAAACAGTGGAAACAAAAGTTAGAGGAAAGAAAGAGGAAAGAAGATGAGGATGCAAAAAATGACGAGGACTTTCACGAGCATGAGTAAAAAGACATAAATAAACATAATAGTAATAAATAAAAAACACCGTCTTAAACGGGTGGTCAGGTCTGTTTGGTTCACAAATGTAAAGAGCGCTCGGTGGGCCTGGTCGTGTCGGGATGCACTACCACTCGGAAAGAGGTAGTCGTCTATGGTCACGCACTCAAGTCCTAGGCATTTATACTCCTTAATCAGTAAAGACCGCTGCGTATGAAATGTGGGACACTGCACTACGAGACGCTCAAGTCTTTGGTAGGAGCCACAAGCTGCGCACAACGGACTGTCCACACAGTCTTGACGGTATAATCGTTCACGCACCAGCACAGAGCCCACTCTTAGTTTGTACAACAGCACTGGGGAACTACGAGGCAAGTCACGGCCACGAACACGGGAAGAAACGATCCATTCGCCACACGCTGGTCTGGGTGCTGTTCTAGGAGATAATGGCGTATAAGCAGACTAGCGTTGTCTATCGTACATAGATTTCCCGGACAGTCACAGCCATTATGGTTGCATGATGAAGCAAGGTGATCCGCTTCTTCATTTCCCGCAATGCCCACATGCGAAGGTACCCACTGTGCAGCTAGGCATACCCCACGTCACAAAATATTGTTGATGTATTCCATGATGCTGCTTAGATTAGGGCTGCCGGTCTCCTTGCTGGTGAGTCGCCTAAGGGCACCACGAGAATCGGTGAGGATGACAACCTTCGATGCTGGTAAACCTTCTTGTACGTACTTACGGGCGACATCAATCGCTGCTAGCTCTGCCGTCACCGACGATCAGGGGTGCGGTATTTTAAACAACCGCCTGATATCGGTTGAACGGCAGAAGAAAGCTGTAGAAGCACTCAGGCCATCGCTGCGTACAAAAGCATCCATAAATAGCTTTGCATAGTCTTCGAAGTTTTCAAGTAGGTGTGAATGGGCTAATTTATATAGTTCCGAAACAGGTTGGTCACACCTTTTGCGTATTTAGAGAATTTACAGATGGGTAGGGAAGGCACATGGGCTGTGCTCTGTCGATATTGGGGACTCAATAGTTTCGCTGGAATTGCCAGTAATGTCATTGAACAAAGCCGCCATTCTACTCATCTGAGAAAGTGGGTGCTGTAACAGTCTGTTAAGGAGTGTTTTGTCATGTGAGGCTCGGTTCAGACGCTCAATATGATATAGCGCTCTCTGGTCAGCTTGCAGCCTTAGCGGCAACTGGTGTGCTTCAGTCAGTAGTGGGATAGATTTTGCCTCACGAGGTAAGTTAAACAGTACTCGGTGGGCAACACGATGAACC